ATGTATATGTATATGTATATGTATATGTATATATATATATATATATATTACATATTCACGACATTGTAATTCACCACTGCACATTCTCTGGCTATGTTTCGGTACAAAACACAAAATACATGTCGAAATTTCAGGGAAAAGAAACACATTGCATTGGTTAGTGAGTTTATATGCGATACCTGAAGTTACAAAAAAGTGGGCGACTCCATGATTGTCGTTGTCGGAAGGTTGCTGTCGCTGGTCGTGCACTGGTCAAAAGTCGAGTTAAATGTAAGCCAAACGGTTTGGATGCAGCTAGTGTGCTGAGTCTTTCTGGTACATGCTTCAGAAATACAAAGTTCGGCATGGCACTATTGATTGTGATACCTTTGTATCTAATTTCTGAAACGACAATACATCATATTTGTGTGATAATAAAGAAAATCTGAGTCTTGAGTTGTGAATGACTTCAGAGTTCAGACTGGTCACGTGTGACTTGTCAATTCTCAGTTGTTGTTGTGAGTTGAGAGCTGAGAATTGTGAGAGTTGAGATTCTTTGACAGCCAGAGAGGTTGTAACTTGTATGTATGTAGTCAATGTAATTTGTTTTTACATACACATGTTACACTTACTATTTTTTAAATTTTATTTCAAACAAAAATATTAAAGCATCGCCATCTTGAGTTCTTGACTTCTATTTATATACTTCTTCTCTATTTACTCGTCTGCACATACTCTCTCTTCTTATTTTTGTTGAAATATGAAAACACTCTCTCTATGTCGTAAGTACTATTTTAAATTTATTTATGTAAATCATACTACCGTACTAAATAAATATTGTATTTACATCCACTTCCATAGGCTATTGCACTCTCTCTCAGTCTCTCTACTCTACTTCTCTAAAAAAATACACAACTGACATCCAGCCAGTCAACCAGAGTCAACCAGTTTCCAGACAACCAGTCAACAACAGGCAGTCAACCAGGGGCCCAGGGCACAGGCGCACGACGTCACTGACTCTGAGTCTGAGACTCTGACTCTGAGTCTGAGACTCTGACTCTGAGTCTGAGACTCGGAGGACGAGTCTGAGACTCTCACTGCGTCACAGCGTCAGCGAACTGAACAGTGAACATTGAGGTGATTTCTAGAAGAAGAAAAAATGCATCGTATTTGTTGTCCTTATTGTAGTACTCTTGTCCTGTTGTCCATAGTGAAGAAGAAAAAGAGTATATTTGCGCTGTAAAGAAGAGAGGGTCCAGATATAATGGACCGAGTCCGGACTCTGAGCCCCTGGGGTACAGTGCGAACTCTTGTTGAAAACTTTGTAGGAAATAGCCCTAGAATCAGTTCGACGTTGTAGAGATTAGGACATACAGCCCTCTTCTAATCCAATATAGAAGGTGCGTTTAGAATGGAGAGGTTAACTATATGACTAAGGAGTAAACAAATCGGGTCATTGACTCATTGTTTTGTTGAGGTGACTTCGTCGAGGCTATTTGCTCTCTCTCTTCTGGAAGTAGATTGGTGCTTAGTCGTCGAGGCTATTTGCTCTCTCGCTTCTGAAGTAGATTGGTGCGTAGGATAGCAACTAAAGATAAATATACATATCTATGGTCATGTATTGAACATAATTTTAACTTCACCCAAGTTGTCATTTTATGCTACTTCACGTAGATGATATGTGGTCGCCTGGAATTAACATTCTTGGTCAGATATATAAAAATCTACAACCATTTTTGGATATGATAGATGATTTTGTATAAGAGGTCTTGATTCTTGTCTATACTCTGTATGCACTTTAAAAAAAAGAAAGAACAAACACTTTGTCATTGCATATAAATAAATGTATTTGATAAATATATTTGTTTGGTTGTTTCCAAATTTACAAATTTCTTTTCAAAAATGGAAGAGATGGGTAGTAGGCAACTGGGCACAACTTCACAGGCATCAAGAAACAAGAAGAGTGATAGTATCCGGCGTCCGGCGACGCGAGGAGACTTCGTTATTCAGATTTTGAGACAATATGTGCACTGGTGCAGTCACTGCAGACTATGGAGAGATATTATAATAAAATATCTATATTTTATTATATATATATATATATATATATATATATATATATATACATATATATATATATATATACATAATATATATATCGATAAATAGATATACAGATATATAAATATATAAATATATATATTGTTGACAAATGCTTGTCACTCGCGCATTGAAGACGCAAGATATTTTAAATGGCATATACAATAGCACTGATATGTACTTTGTGCACGGCCGCCGCTACGGCGCAAGACACAACTGTAGAAAGCAATGAGTTTGCGACATTGGGTCACAGAGGACCGTACGCCGACATGGGAGTTAAAGGGGCATTTGCATATATGAGTTACAAGGGTGGAGCATACGATAGTGATGGTTTCGACGAGATAGGATATAATGCGTTCGGGTTTGACAGATTTATGGTCGACAAGCAAGGAAGACATGCAAGCGATCCTTTATCAGGATTAGATCAGCCAGAATTCCAATTTTTGGATCCTGAAGATGTTACAGGTATGGATGTACAGGAAGATGCCAGTGCAAGGTAATTCATTAACCGGCTACAAAGGCAATGTAGCTGTTGACTCGGTCGACTAAAGTAAACTCATGAGCACACACACACACATATATATATATATATATATACATATATATATATATATATGATTTTAATGAAGTGTATTTTTATGTATATACATATGAAGTGTAATTGTGTATACATAAATAAGTGTATAAGAATATATAGAGAGTAAAAGTATGTACATCTATGTGTACATATATTTATATTTATATACAGATACACATATAAGTACATGAACACTTATTTACATACTTAAATAAATTTGTGCTTATATATACATTACCTATAATAATTAAATTAAAACCCTATATATATACATATATATATATATATATATATATATAGTTAAGGTTTAACGTTA